CCTTGTGCGGTACTACTGGTAATCTATACATAGAAATACATACTATTACTTACCAATGCATACTAATACTATCTCTTTTACTATTACGAATATTGCTGAAGTTGGTTCGACCCCGGCCCCTGTTTACGACATTCTAATTAAACTTATTACTGTTGTTTTTATAGCCCATCCACTGCTTTGACCCACCGATGCGGAACCGCAGATACTCGTAGCAACAGCCTATCGATATTCAGATTGGTTTGCCCCCTCTTGGTACGCCACAGTGGCAGCAAAAATCCAAGAGTTGGTCATCCTGTTCATGTAAGTATTAATGTCGGGGGTGATGTTCTATTGTCATAGAGTTTACGGATGAGTTGTAGCTAAAGAGCATGACACATCTGGATCTCGTTTCTCATTGATCGTAGACATGGCCGATGCCCAGTTTGTTGCGCCAGGAAAATCTCCAGCCACACACCAAGTCTGGGCAGCAATGGTGCAAGCTGACAAAGGCGGAGTCAGCGCACATGCCAGAGAGATCCGGAGAGTACATGTCGTGAGCTCTCAACGCAACAGATGCGCAGCCTTGCCAGTCTTTACTGGCCCTCACAAATGCTCGCTTAGAATCGCATATATAGGATACATGATGAATCATGCCTGTTTCGGAAGACATCCAGCATACGTACATCACGTACATTTTCCAGGTCCTTAGTCGCTAGCCAATTACCTAGTCATATTGTGCTTTGAGTGTCGAAGTCTCATGAAGTATCCGCCAGAATGTCATTTGAGTGTGCCAGGCAGCCCAGCAATCTCTCCGAGGTGCTGTGTGTGAAAGCGTTGGAAGCAAAGGAAACGGAGTGAACTTGCACTTTTTTTGCAGGGATGTTTGATTGAGGCAATGCAAAACATACTTTTCAAACTAGGCTATCGGCAAAGAGAATGAATATTCAATATTCGCAAAGAAAGTGTAAGAAAGCCACCGCGCATAGTAACTCACGTCTCTTAGGGCTTCGGGTCTGCTGTGCTCCAACATATTCCAACGACGCAGGCACAGACCGACTGGGCCCACGGGTCGAAGAGGTTTGGGTGCGGCAGCCCAAAAGAGCAAATTGCTAGACAACGCGAGAAGAGCTTGCCAGGCCGCTCACACATCCGACGGCGTATGGAGATGGAATGACAAAAAAGGCACAAGTAATTAGTTTCTTCAGTGTTGATAACATGTGCGGACACACTCACACCACCAACTAGACGATGGTTGGCCCGAGAGCGAGTAGGTGCATAGGTACTCAGATGTGTTTTGTAGTTGTATGATTTGCAGACGCCAAAGACTTGCATGAAAATGAGAATGTTACATGAGATCATGTATATATGTTCATTATGTGTAGATGTCAAGATAAGAAGATGTGAAGATGTCAGGGTTTTAGTTGCAAGAGACAGACAAGGTATGCTGTATAGAAGGTTATTGGAGATGTGAAAAATACAAACATACAGATATGCTGATAGGCTCTCAAACAGAGACACACGCAGAGAAACATGTTAACACAATTTTACACCTATATACACGCAGACACACACAAACCCACACACTTGAAAGACCGTATGTCGTATGGAGTCCTGATTGGTCCATCGAACCTGTCTGTCCTTCTTATCAATTCTATGACATCTGGGAATGAAACCCCAGAAAGGCCTTGCGCCGCGTGACTGAGTCACTGATCCAACAATTGTTTTGTAAAATGACATAAAAAAATAAAAATTCATGTCTTGGGGTTCTCGGCTTAGCCCCTTGCCGTACCGACAGATTAAAATCAAAAAATGAATTGCAGGTACGTCACTGGCCGTCTCCAGTGATATCAGTGTCGCATGCAAGCCTCTTCGTTGGGCTGGTACTTGCATGGACAACCAGCCCCCCTGCTACTATGAAACATGTTTGGAAAGGATCAACTGCTTCGACTAGCCCTTAGAAACAGGGCGTGACCCCACACACAAAGGCCGTTTTGTCGCCAAGGGTCTGCTGCCTGGCAGCTTTTACACACAGAAGCCTGTACACACAAAAACTTTTACACACAGAAGCTTTTACACACAAACGCTTTTACACACAAAAGCTTTTACACACAGAAGCTTTTACACACGGAAGCTTTTACATATAGAAGTTTTTACACACAAAAGCTTTTCCGCACAGAAGATTTTCCCATGCACTCCAACACTTTTACACACAGACGCTTTTACACACAGACGCTTTTACACACAGAAGCTTTGACACACAGACGCTTTTACACACAGACGCTTTTACACACAGACGCTTTGACACACAGACGCTTTTGCACGCAGAAGCTTTTTACACACAGGCACTTTTATACACAGACACTTTTTCACACACAAGTTATTACACCCAGACGCTTTTACACACAGAAGCTTTTACACAGAGAAGCTTTTACACACAGAAGCTTTTACACTCAGACACTTTTACACAAGTGATTACACACAGGGGCTTTTACACACAGACGCTTTTACACACAGACGCCTTACACAGAAGCTTTTACACACAGGCGCTTTTACACACAGAAGCATTTACACACAGTCGCTTTACACACAGACGCCTTACACAGAAGCTTTTTACACACAGAAGCTTTTACACGCAGGAGCTTTTTACACACAGGCACTTTTACACAGACACTTTTACCCACAGAAGATTCTACACACAAACGCTTTTACACACAGAAGCTTTTACACACAGAGGCTTTTACACACAGAAGCTTTTACACACAGAGGGTTTTACAAACAGGAGCTTTTACACACAGACGCTTTTACACACAGGAGCTTTTACACACAGACGCTTTTACACACCGACGCTTTTTCACACAGACGCTTTTACACACAGACACTTTTTACACACAGAAGTTTCATTTTACCGCAGTTTTTGACGATCAAACCTCATTTCGTGCGAAAGGGTTGTTGTGGCACACTCAATCGCAATTTTACTTTAGTTTTTGGCGATCGAACTTCATTTCGTGCGAAAGGTTTGTCGCGGCACACTCAAAATCGCAGTTTTACTTCAAAAAGAACCTCGTTTCGTGCGAAAGGGTTGCCGCGGCACACTCAAAATCGCAATTTTACTGCAGTTTTTGGCGATCGAACCTCCTTTCGTGGGAAAGGGTTGTCGCGGCACACTCAAAAAATCGCAATTTTACTTCAGTTTTTGGCGATCGAACTTCGTTTCGTGCGAAAGGGTTGCGTTTCGTGCCGTCTCGTTGGCACTGCCCCGCGCCTTAAGAGAGAAATAGACAAGAAGGAAAAAGAAGAGGGCAAGAGAGCAAGAGGGCAAGAGATCAAGAGGGCAAGAGAGCATGTGAAGATGTGAAGATGTGAAGATGTGAGGATGTGAGGATGTGAGGGTGTGAGGATGTGAAGATGAGAAGGTGAGAAGATGTGAAGATGAGAAGATGTGAAGATGTGAGGATGTGAAGACGTGAGGATGTGAGGATGTGAGGATGTGAAGGTGTGAAGATGAGAAGATGTGAAGATGAGAAGATGTGAGGATGTGAGGATGAGAAGATGTGAGAATTGAAGATCTGATGTGAAAATGTGAAGATGGGAAAATGTTTGACAAACCCCCACTATTAGAAGAACCCTTCGCTCAGACGCTCTCGGGAAAAAACAAATTAAAATAATTAAATTAAGCAATGAGTAAACTTATCAAGTAAATTTTGAACTATGTCGACTCAGTTGCACAGTTCCCCATTTAAATTATATATACATATATAAAAATAATTATGGTAGGTCGTGCCCAAATTTTAGAACGGAAGTTGGGGAGTACGAAGGTACGGTTATTTACCGTACCCTGTTATTCCATAATTTTGTTTTCCTCGGAAGGTAAACGTATCATTACTTACTCCTATTTTTTCATCGTTCTATATATAAATCTGGTTTGTTCTATAATTGTGTTTTCCCACATTTACCAGTTCCGTTCTATATTTTTCCGTTCTATAATTAATTTTGCGTCAACCGTTCTATAATTATGTACTGTATATATACAAATATGCAATAGATATCATGCCAGTGCCAGAAATTATAGAAGAGAAAAAATAATTTTAGAACAGGAAAACTAATTATAGAACAGGATCCGAATCCGCACGGAATCGGGATCCGGAGGAGTACGAAGGTACGGATAGGTACGGTATTTTACCGTACTTTTGCATTCCTAATTTCGTTCTATAATTCTGGCACCTCCTGTATACATATGTGTTCTGTGTATCCGCAACGCTGGCGTCATTGGGACGCCCGGTTTGCCCCTTCGCATGAACCATTTATATTCGTTCGATTGTTATTTCCATTGCCATTAGGATGACTTACTATGCCTTGCTGCAAAATCCATTGCAACTTCTAATTGCTGAGGTGCTTCCACCTGAGCAAGCAGCTGCAGCCGGACTTAGCACTGGAGAGGCTAGGGTGAAACAATTTTGCTGTTAGAAACAGTCTCACAGTCTGTCACACTTGGATGAAGATTCACAAAGAAGACAGGGGAATTCGGAACCTGGGACTGGGAATCACGTTCCCACTGACCAGATTGGAAGCCTTGTTCAGGCTGTGTTTCTGAGAGATTTCGTTCCCGCAGGAAACCTGGGAGGAGGAAGACAAGGTGGCCAGTGCAGCAGCTGAGGAGGAGCCTGCTTCAGCGCAGCTGAGTGGTGTCAACATGTTTCAACATGTTTCAACCCATCAAATCAAAAAACGCAAAATATATCCAAATATAACGGATCCAGTCAGTTGTGGTTGTATGTGGTGTTATGATTTATATTGATTCTTGATGATTCTTGATTCAATCAGTTTCTGTATCTATCATTAACTATCCATGTCATGAATTTTCCCGAAATTCAGGAGTTGAGAAAGTTGATTTTGGGCCGTGTTCACAACAGGCAAAACAAATGGCAGGTGATGGGTTGCTTTGAATGATACTTTGGAGACTCATACTCTGGTTACCTATCTTACCTCTACTTGCAAGACCAACATGTGATGCATTTACAATGGCAATGCAGGAGAGCAAGAAGTTCTTCATCACGCGTGCATATCCCAGAGGAGCGACGGAGCAATACGACCAGATCACAGTTTTTTTTTGCAAAACTACGCCAGTAGAGACATTAAGTGAAAATTGAGCAAGAAAAGATAGGAAAGGTATGTTAAAAGGACTGAACAAATTGAAAAGGACAGTTATGGGTAGTGCTTAGAGCTCAAAGTGTTTGGAGCACTTCGAGATTTGCACAATCCTCTGTACATCGTCAGTCGGCTTTGCCAACGTTCTCCATTCAGTACTAGTAGGTTACTCATGCAAAATGGATTGGGACCAAAAAAATCATCGTGCACAACTGCCCATAACTGCTATATACCCTGCCCATCTTAGGTGTGACCTGCCAAAGCTCTACAGTGAAGAAATTCTTCACCACAAAGCAGTCCTTCGGGGTCTACCTTCCGACGCTCGGCGAGCAAGCAGCCGTCGCATCAAGCGAATGACATAATGCTACGATGAAGACAAATATTATCTATATATATATATACGTGGATATACGCATGCATTAGGAATGAAATTGATTGAAATCAAGGAAGACGCATTGTGAAGCTCAGACCACGTTGTTGCTACAAGTTGCTACTTTGTGCTGTTTTGGAGAGCCTGGTCCTAGGAAAGGCGCAACTGTCAGCGAGCTAAGTGCGCCTGTGCTCGCTTGGGATGGAAGTCGTTCAGTGGGCCTTTCCACTTTGAGAATCATCGGAGAGAATTCAAAAATTTGGACCAATTTATAGACGAACCAGCAGTTCCTTTCTGTGACATTTTGCTGGCTTAAAGTACGTAGCATGTTCGGCTGTTCAGGAACTGTGTATCGAATACAGGTGAACAAACTCCTTAGATTCATTAGATTAACAAGTTATACAAGTTTAAGATTTTCTTCACGTCCGTCACTCTGTGACCGGACAGGATGGGTGCTTGGAAGACACCTTCCGGCTGAGGTCAGGGCACTAACCCTGTTCAGATGCATTCAGGTATAATTTCAGTATATTCAGTTGCGTTCCGTTTGTTTTAGTGGAGGTTCCAGCGAAACTTGTATGGACAGGTGTGGACATAATCAAGGATGACAGCTAGAAAATTGCTGCAATTGGTTCAAAATACAATGAGTTTGAGAACATTGGTTTCAGTCATTGCGAGTTTCAGTGATTAGAAGTGATTGAATTGTGAAAATCATTGAACATCACCTTAAAGTATCTTAAAGTTATTAAAGTTATCTAAGATAACGTGGAAACTTGGGAAAGGGCACAAGGGCACAATGCTGACAACTTCACAAATGCTTTGCTTGGATCAAGCGAATCAGATTCGTTGTCTCTCGATGTCGTGCGGACGATATTATCCATCACGCTACCTGCTAGACTCACCAGACTTCGTTTGCGAATTCCAGGCGCGAGTTCTGTGCCAGCGCCAAGGGCGGGACATCCAGGTGATGCAAGAAACCGCCAGCATCTCAGCGCTGCAAAGACAGGCACACTCTTTGTTGTCATATCATGCCATATCCATATTAATATGATATCCATACGATGTCCATGCCTCCAGCAGTCATAGAATTGCATTCAATTGCTTGACGCTGTGCCCAATCTACACATGGGCATGATCCACGCAGCAGCTTGTCGATATTAAAGTAAGAAAATCATGAAGGAATTGCTTATCATCACATATCATCACCAAATATCACCAAAAACATGAGGGACTCATATCGTCATATCGGGTGTATAGTTTTCCTATGTTGTCCTCTTTCCATGCAGCATTTGCCACGCAACAAGGACCAGGTGCCAGAGGAGATCTCCGTGTCTGACTTCAGAGGGCCACGTAGTTTCTACATGTCCCGTGGCTATCGAGGGTGGTGTTGGAATGTGTTGGAAAGCTGGCCAGTTTGCATGTGGGACGAATTGGGACGAGCTGGAATTTGGTTGTAAAGATTACTGTACTGCTGATTCGAATGCTTGAAACTGTTCTGTCCTCTTAGCTCTTTGCAACATGTTTACAATGGATCAGAGATTTGAGACCAGCTTGCAACATGTTTCCAATGGATCACAAATCAGTATGAATCAACTCTCCTGAACGCTGTTCCAATCCAAAGTTGAAAGCCACGAGTAGATAGACGATGCCAGACCGAACTAAGCCATCCATAGAAGCGCGGATTCAAGTTGCCCAACATGTTGCAAGGTTCAACACTATCAGATCACTTGCATTCATTGGGTGCTGAGAACATTTTGATCAATGAAGATCAATGAAGTAGATCCCATAGATTAATCAGAATTATCAAAAAAACATAGATGTTCCATTCATTTTATTCATTTCCGATTTTACTTTCACCGCAAGATGTGACCTCGGGCCATTAGCCTGATCAGCCTGATGGCACTTCAGGCGCTTTAGCCACAAGCAATGTGCCATCGTTCTGCGCTTCATGCGGTACGACTTTGGGGGTGGAACTGTGGGTCCCCATAGGTCACAGCATCCCGAAGTTGTTTGAGGGGATTGCTTCAGTCCTGTCAATAACCCCTAGGGCCTAGGGAGATAGATTGGGACCTTCAAACAGCTTAGCACATTGAAGCCAGCCCTCCTGGAAATGTTCAAGCCAACTCGGGGCCAACGAGCGTCTCAAGATCTCTCAAGCATCCTAAGATATCCTAAGCCTAAATTCACTTAATAGATTTAGCCTCCTAACCCTTGTCATTGTTGCCTGATCACAAGATCGTTCCCTCTGCATATGTTTTGCAGAAGGGATGGATCCGTAGAATCTGAGCATCTTTGATCCTGCGTGAAAAATGGGCCTAGCCTATATATATATATTATATATGTAATTTATAATATATACATGTTCTATACTGATTCAACAATTTTAGGGATTCCGACTTCCCAATGCCAGGTCATTCTTCAAGAATCCGGAGAATCAGAAGCGCTTGGACGAGTTTGAAGCCAGCGCCAAAGGAAGCGGCCATGATTACCGCGTCCAGCACCCAGATGACCATCCTGGGTTTTCTGAGCGCAATGTTCAGTATCTGCAATATCACGCAATATCAACTACAAGAAATTACCATCACTATTCCATCACCATATAGCGCCGTGAAGTTGAGTTTCACGATCCTCCTAAAAGCGGCAAGTAAAAGGTCTGAGGCAATTTACTTTCACTTGGTGTGAATGATCATCTAAAGAATAGGACTTCTTTGCCATTTGGAGATTTAATGAAGATTTAGAGCGAATAGTCATGGGATGTCACAGGGCCAAGTAGAAGAGTTTTCCTTCATGATGGATGGGTGGCTGTGATTGAAATTACCCGCGATGCCTTCACAGAGATGTTATAACTGCACTTAGTGACATTAAAAGATACTAAAACCAGCAAGACCAAGAAGTGCTGATGTCGGCAAACTGAATCCTATTGACGACGTGGACTCACCACTGCTTCCCGACCAATTGGATGCTGCAACAATGTGCCAACCACTCCAAGCACATCCAAGGCGCAGTTGGTTCAGTTGTTGGCGCATGAAGTCTATCCAAGGAATTCGCAGCAGACTTGACTGGGATAGTGTGAACATGTGTCAACAAGTCAAGTCTAAAATGAACAAATGTGGGATGGTGGGATCACACAAATTGGTGGTTTTGGTATGTTTCGGTGGTCGAGGCTGAGGAAGTAGGGAGCGATTCAAAAAGCATGTTGGGTTGCTTGTATGTTGCTCAATGTCGTGCCAATGTGTATCCCTTTGGAACCTCCTTGCAGGTATGTCATGTGTCGATATTGTGGCTGCGTCATTGACACCTCACAGACCCCTTATAGAGGGACAGACAACCCCGATTCCGAAACTATCCGCAAGTCACAAACTACGATTCACCAACGATCATTCAAAACGGCAACAATCACGACTCAACAACTAAGATTCAGCAACTGGCTTGCGCAATTTAGCAACTCTCTGGCTCGATTGAAAAATCTCACACGGTTGAGAAACCATCTAGCGCAATTCAACACATCCTTGTTCCCAAGTTGTCCAATTTAGATCAATTTAGTTGTTGCCGAATCTTAGTTGTTGAATCATGGTTGTTGTATCCGTTTGTTTAGTTGAGGAATCTGTCCGTTTATTTGACATCTCTCTGAGACTCCTTGAGGCTCAAACCTCGGCTCCAACAACCTTCCGCTGTGTTGTGGCATGTTGATATTTTTAATTTTAAGTAATTAGTACTATAAATATATGATCCGCAGCCGCATAATATGTAATATATAATATAATATAATATATACATATACACATGATTTGTGGTTTTGTAATTCCTATGTTTGTCATGTTAGCATTTGCGCATATTTGCGCAGATTGGGGCCGTGCAAGGATTTACCAGAAGCTGCACGTGCCAGTGATGGATGACTTGGATGGACCAAAGCTTATGCGGGGCTGCCCAAGCTGAGACCCGTTAAAGTCACGCAAGAGCAGACTTTGAGAATCATTTGAAGACCTTGAAGACGATGGATGAAAAAAAAGATTGGCAAGTGTTATTCGTGCCCGAAATTAGCTAGTCTTAGTAAGACTTGGTGTTTTTTGGATGTATCACAAACTTTGTACATGTGTGTATATATATATATAATCATTTATAATATGTTATCATCATATGTATATATATAGTTTGTATGATTTTGACATATATTTGAGTGCCTGCATGGTTGATAGAATTGTTTTAATGACATGCCGAATGCCAAGGCTGGAAGCCATGTCAAATGTTTCGGGTAGCACTTTGGAGGCCACAACTTGCAACCGCTGGATGGTTTGAATTCAGTCGCAAGCTTTCAAGCGGTGCAGGTCACCGGGTCAGACATTCTTACTGGAGTTTGACTAAGATTTCCACAGTAGTCACAGTGTGAGAACAATCATCCTGTTTTATTTGTTTCGATCCCACGTGTCAAGAGTCGAAATTCAAATGCTTCACTCAGAACGTCACGTCCATGTCCCATCAATGATGTTGCTCCCAAATCAGCCCAGTGTAGCCGCACAAATAGATCCAATAGATCCAAAAACCAGAATAAAGGTCATCTCCGGCATCGCTGCAGCGTAAGGGGCTTGCCATTGATTTTGATTGCGGTGGGCCTCGGACATCTTGACGGGGAGCTCTTGCCAGGTGGTAGAGCTGTGGCTGGAAGTCGAATTGCTGATGCGGAACCAGGCACCATGGCATCCATGACCAGGAGTGCATTTCTTTCATGATCGATGTATAGCGATGTATTGAAGATGTTGTGTTATGATTCATCGATGTATATATATATATATGATACACATATATTAGAATATGCACAGAACATACAGTACTCAGTATACATATATATATATATATGTGTGTACAAATAATTGTACGCATATCATATTATGATATGCGTACAAGTATGTGTACACATGTTGAGCACAAAATATACACTATATATAGACATCTACAAAATATGTAATCATAGGCTTGTATATCTTGTTGTTTTCAATTTGTTCAATGGAGCTTACCTTTGAGATATCAGGTTGCTTTGAGAAGAGGGAAGAGATTCTGTGATATATGGTGACACAAAGTGCAGCAATTGCATTGGAGTCTCTTGGTCTTTGCATTTTGCAGTGATGGAAAATCGCATGGCTACAGCGCATCATTTACAAACTCTTGGAAACCTATTCACATTCGCAGGCACCCTTATGAACAAAATGTAATCAAAGGTACAGAGAATGTCGAAGGTTCGTTTCATACTTGCACTTCCTGCAGCATCCAGCACACCCTGACCCAAATGAAATCATTTGCCAGCTGCGACAGTCACATTGACTGCATGGCGCGACAGGCATCGGCTCAAAGTGCCCTTGCCGCAGTGCAATTCTTCCGTGACCAGGTGCCTCCAGCGCAGCCAGTCCGAAGAAGATGGCAAAATGAATTAAACGATGAAAAGGTATGGATAGGCAATGGACAGGTAGATTCTTAGAAGGAATCTCCGCAGTGCCTTCCTGGGATGGAATCTCAACAAGGGTATGCGGTTGATGATTGTAGATGAAGGTATCCATTGCTGTCAATCTGCTGTGGACCCTGCAAAACATAGAACTCCCATTCCACTCAGATGATGTTGCCATCATGGGATCCCAGGCTAAGTCTCAGCAAGTTTCAAAGCCTACAGAGCAGCCGTCTTACGCACGAGACCCTGGCAGAAGCCGAGAGTGGAAACTTCTTGAAACTTCCCCAATATATGTCCCCTATCTTCCTGTTTCCCCTTTTGCAACACAGTGTGTATTGCTGGCCCGTCGCAAGAAAATTCTATGATGTTGCCGTTGCGCTGAGGAAAACATCCGCGATGCAGTGCAAGTTGCTAGACAATTTGAGCAGCCGCAAGGCTAAATTCAGAAGGGCATCGGCAACTACTTTGAATGATCAAAAAATGCTGAGCCCCATCCCATAGAAATTGGGGATGGGTTCGAAGATGATGCCCGAATATGCCCGATATTGTCACTGTCACAACATGTCTGGTGGATGGGTTGAAACATATTAAAGCCGCACGCCAGTGTAGCCAACTCAGCCATGCGTCATCATACCTCATCATAAGGTCATCATACATGAAGAGTACGTATACATATGTATAGTATGTGTTTATGAGCCGGGCCAAAACTTGCAGCCGGTTGAGGAGCAACGGTCAAGGATCGACCGCGAAGGCAGCCAAAACTTGGGTCTGGGCTGCTTATTGCCGAATGATTTATTCCTGTATAAACGTCGACCCATATAGCAAATTATGCCTCAAAGGTTTGTTTGTCAAAGTGAAGTTCATGAGGATTGCATAGGCTTCGACCTTGAAGTTGAGCTGCTCAAGACACTACATGCATGTTAGTGCATGGTGGCGCAAGAAATTCAATGAAAGTTGATGAAAGTTGCATTTCTTGTCCCTGTTTGACCGAAAGCTCCATCCAGGTGGTTTCTTTGGACTATCAGCCTCTGATAGCTTGTGGTTGGTCCGACTGAATCTCCAAGAATTCACTACCTTGACAGATCTGGAACGCATTGTTCCTCAAAATTTGCGTTGCAGGCAGAGTCCCCCCGCAAGGAAGCTTCCGCGTCAGAGCCGGGTTCGAAGCCTTCAGAGCCTTTGGTCCACACAGAGGCAGGCCTTTGAGCACAACCACTCGAGTATCACCTGGCCGTGACAAAGGCAGAAAATCTTCCAGACTCTTCCAAGTTCATGATGCTGTGACAATCCCCAGCCTGCAGTTCACCGTGCACCCCAGTGGTTTGGAAGGAATCTTCGCCACCAAAGAATGGCAACGGCTCGGCTGATGCCGCTGCGGTGCTTCAGAGCGATGCTTCGCCTCCAACTGCAGTTGCAGGGTTTGAGCAGCGCCCAGCTCCAGTGGAGGAAACTCCGGTTGCTGCAGCTGGTGAACAGGATACTGAAGGCGCTGAAGGCACCTCAGGGTGGCTCAGCTGCATCATTTTGGAGGACAATGGTTCAATGGTAACATGTTCCAAGACCATTCAAATGCTGAACGCATCTGAACGCGAGACACAGACTCGCAATACTTCCTCATAGGCTCATAGGTGGCAGCAGCACACCGGCAATATGCATGTATGTATACAGTATATCAGTCTGTATATAATTATATATATACATTTGTAATTACATATTTAACTCATGTGTATACATACATATATACATAATCGTATGTATATACTACATAATTATAATATATATATATATATACATTTATTTATATCATTATATTCATATATATATATACACTTATTTATATAGTTACTGATATCTATATATATATATATGTATGTGTGTGTAATATGTTACACTATGTATATATTATGTATTGTCGTATATTGTACAATATTGGAGGGTTATTTTTTTGGGGAATTATGTTTTCCGTTTGTGGCATTTTTTTGATTTATATATGTATGTTTCCCTGCTTTTCTGTTTTTCTGCTCCTCGAGTTGTGTGTTTCTGCTTTTCCCTGCTTCTCTGCTTTTATAGTTCTTTGATGTTCTTTGCTTCTCTGCTTCTCCAGTTTTCTCCTTTGCTTCTTCACTTCTCTGCTTCTCCACTGTGCTGCCTCTCTGCTTCTCCGCTTTTCCGTGTTTTTCCTGATTTTCCAGCTTCTGTGTTTCTTTGCTTCTTGCTGTTCCCTGCTTCTTTGCTTACCTGCTTTTCTGCTTCTCTGCTCTGCTTGTCCCTTTTTTTTGTTGCTCATACTGCAGATAATCCTTGAGAGACATCATATAAATAAACCCTAAATCAACCATAAATAAACCCCAAACCAACCAAAGAACCACCAAAACAATTCTAAGTAAACCCTAAGCACTCCCTAAATAAATTTGAAACTAATCCTAAATCAACCTTACGCCAGCCCTAAATACATCTTAAACCAGACCTAAATAAATCTTATACCACCGCTAAACACACCTTAAACATCCTTAAACCAATCCTGAATAGGTCCTACATCAACTCTAGATAGATCCTAAACCAAGCCTAGATAAACCCTAAACACACCCTAAACCAGCTCCAAATAGATGCTCACCCAAGCCTAAATAAACCGTAAACCAACCCTAAATAGATTTTAAACCATGCCTAAGTAGATCCTAAACCAACCCTCAACAAACTTCAAACCAACATAAACCAACCCTAAATAGGTCCTAATCCAACCATAAATAGATCTTAAACCGAGCTAAAATAAAACCTAAAACACACCCTAAAAAGATCCTAAACTAACGCTTAAGAAAAACTAAATAAACCCTAACTCTAAAACTAGCCCTTAAAAACTTAAAACCAAACAAACCCCTAAACTAACCCCAAAAACCAACCCTACATGAACCCTAGTTGCAAACTACCATGTTACATGAACAGTTCGAGCAACAAAATGTTGCAAATTCCATCCAAAATGAAAAACTCGAATTCAAAAATGCTGCAAATACCGTTGAAACATCAGCTTCCAGCTCCAAAATGTTACAATTTCCACCAAAATGCTGTACATTCTATGGAAAATGAAAGGTTCCAACTCCAAAATGTTGCAAAGACAGTTGAAATGGTAGCTTCCAGCTCCAAAATGCTGCAAATAGCAAGGAAAACGGGCAGAAACACAGATCAAATATATATATAATAGACAAGATGCCGCCCACGAACCCGAATGCAGTCACGTAGGAACACTTTAGTGAAACAAGTTATTTGAACAGTCTTGTACATTTTTCCCTGTTACCGTACCAGTGCACTGTAGACTGTGGAATGTGGAATGGGGTGGAGGGTGAAGAAAGTGGAGTGTTGTGTTGAGTGGGGAATGTACTTTGAAGAGTCTGAAGTGGGGATTGTGGAGTGTAAAATGTGGAGTGTAAAATGTGAGTGTAAAGTGTGGAGTGTACAGTGTAAAGTGTGGAGTGTAAAGTGTGGAGTGTGAAGTGAAAAGTGTAAAGTGTATATAAAGTGTAGAGTGTGGCGGCTAAAGTGTAAAGTGTGGAGTGTGGAGTGTAAAGTGTAGAGTGTAAAGTGTGGAGTGTGAAGTGTAAAGTGTGGAGTGTAAAGTGTAGAGTGTGGAGTGTACAGTGTAAAGTGTGGAGTGTAGAGTGTGGAGTGCGGAGTGTGGAGTGTAAAGTGTGAAGCGTATAGAGTGTGGCAGCTAAAGTGTAAAATGTTGAGTGTAAAGTGTGAAGTGTGGAGTGTGAAGTGAAAAGTGTAAAGTGTATAGTTTAGAGTGTGGAGTGTAAAGTGTAAAGTGTGGAGTGTAAAGTGTAAAGTGTAGAGTGTAAAGTGTAGAGTGTAGAGTAGAGTGTAGAGTGAAAAAATACCAACACGGAAGAAACATATAATAAACAAGATGCAGCCCACGAACCCGAATGCAGTCACGTAGGAACACTTTAGTGAAACAAGTTATTTGAACAGTCTTGTACATTTTTCCCCTGTTACCGTACCAGTGCACTGTAGACTGTGGAATGTGGAATGGGGTGGAGGGTGAAGAAAGTGGAGTGTTGTGTTGAGTGGGGAATGTACTTTGAAGAGTCTGAAGTGGGGATTGTGGAGTGTAAAATGTGGAGTGTAAAATGTGAGTGTAAAGTGTGGAGTGTACAGTGTAAAGTGTGGAGTGTAAAGTGTGGAGTGTGAAGTGAAAAGTGTAAAGTGTAAAGTGTGGAGCATGGAGTGTAAAGTGTAGAGTGTGGAGTGTGGACTGTAAAGTGTAAAGTATGGAGTGTAAAGTGTGAAGTTTAAAGTGTAGAGTGTAAAGTGTAGAGTGTGGAGTCTGCAGTGTAAAGTGTAGAGTGTGGAGTGTAAAGTTTAAAGTGTAAAGTGTGGAGCGCGGAGTGTAAAGTGTGGAGTGTGGAGTGTAACGTGTAGAATGTAAAGTGTAGAGTGCGGAGTGTAAAGTGTAAACTGCGGAACGTGGAGTGAAAAGTATAAAGTGTAAAGTGTAGTGTAGAGTGTGCAGTGTAAAGTGTAAAGTGCAAAATATCAAGTGTAAAGTGTGGAGTGCGGAGTGTAAACTACGTTCCACGATGTCCCACGCCTGCCACGTGATTGGCACGTTGTCACCACTTGACGCCGCTCTGACATTGCAATTCGCAAAAAACAGGCAACACGACACGTCTAAAGTGCTGCGCTTGCCACGCAAAATGAACATGGACACACCCAAAGTGCTGCACATGCCACGAAAAATGAAAGTCATCTTGTGAAAACCTTGCAAAAGTATTGCGCCTGTCACACAAAACTCATTTGCAGACACGCGAGAGTGTCACGACGTGCCACGCCTGCCACGTAAAACGACATTAAACTTGTTTGGACACCTTCGAAAATGAGAAGTTTTGCAGCTTCCACCATAGACACGGCGACGCTACATAGACATGGCGACGCTAGAAGAAAACCAGAGAATCGAAACGAGACATGTTGGAATCTCAAAACGAGCGTTTCGTGCGAGACTTCCTTCCATTGCATTACATTACATGCATATACTGGAGATACATGCACACATGCTTACACGCATACACACGTACGTACACACTGTGAATGTTGTACCATGGATTTGTGGATGAAGCTCTTTCAGTGACGAATGCAGGATCATTACATTGTCCGGAATCACCAAGGCCTATCAAAGCTGCGCATTTGCCACCCAATGGCGATAGAGTCCCTGCAGGATCAAAAGAGACTTCCGGGTCTCCAAGAACCTATTCATCCCTGCTCGCTACTGGATTGCGCACTGGAGATTCTAGAGTTGTCACGCATTCTGTTTGTTGCTGTTGCTGATGATGGACAAAAACAAAAGAAATATTGGAAATTGCAAAGGTTATTCCACCTAGCAGCGTCCATGGCCGCTTGGCTGCCCAGGATTGGAATGCTTTGGAGAAGATGGAAGGCGATTTGTCCAACCAGATCCTGGGCTGGACACAGAGGGTTGCGCGGAACACAGAACCGTTTGTAAAATGTGTGTTTTTCTTTGCGTCGGTAGTTGCGGCCATTTGATAAGACATGCGAAATAACGCAGACCATTTCAACAGAAAACTATTCCCATGTTTGTGGTTTCTACTACATAAGATGCCAGCAGGCAGAGAGTTTGCGTTTACTGCTGGGAGAATGTGCGGCCAACGCATCCTACTTGTAGATATCCAAATGAACAACCATGAGAAAACTGAGATACTTGTAACATATAATATACTGTAACTGTAACATCTAAAAATGTTAGACACTCGCAGTTTTTTCTGTCATTGTCCAAAACGAAAGTTATGTAATTAATTATGATAGAACGCTGATATGACTGAAACCTGAATATCAACCAGATCGGCTGAGCTGCGCAGAGTTTCTTTTGAGTTCCATCCCCAAGGGCCGACAAGAAAGAGAAGGAGCATGTGGAATCTCCGAACGACGAGGTTCATGTTTCTACCGATGGATATCCCACCGAGCCTGCTGACGAATCTGTGCATTTGGCCGCACAACAGCAGGGAATTGTCATGCCGTTTTTGCTCATTAAGCAGACACAAAAACAGGATTCGGTCACAGAGACTTGTACTGGTACCTCAAAGTTTGCATGCCGCTGGCAAGATAGCCCATGTCTCCTTTGAAATTGAACTAGATGGATGTGGATCCCTCTCATTGCCACTTGCTGTCTTTGTCTTGGCCCTTTGGCGAATGAATATTGCAGCAGTAGTGCCGGCGACAGTGGCATGTTTTCAAGTTTGCAATTGCTCAATCAGTTCAGTGTCAATATCACGTGTTGGCCATCAGAGCCTTGCCAAGGTGGCCAGCGCTGGCCACAAGCCCAGTGGTCTCAATGGGATGAAGGCAGGCAGATGCAGTAATAGTGGCCATGTTGCTGAGACTTTTTTTTGATGCAGAGCCAACATAGGCTGCGCACTTCTTTCTAATTTTCTACAATTACAATCGCACAAACCAACAGAGTTGTTTTTTGCCTCTGTGTGGGTGTGATTCTAGCTACTGTTAGAATACTGTAGTACGTTCTTGCAAGAGACCATCTTCAGAGGTTTAACGTACCAATCCTGGGCCCTCTTCACTTCAGGATCTGCAGGGTTCACATTGTCAGATTCTGGCGGATGTTGCAGCTAAGCAGTTGGATATTTCGTCCTTTTCAAGTTTTGTCTTTTCCATTTGATAATATCACAGGCTACTTGCTACCCCTGGTTGCAAAGCAGGTCTGCGGTTCCCCCACTTGTGACCATCCTGTGTTTATTTCTTTTGTTGATATATGATTTATATTGAATTACTATGCTAGTTGTCGTTGAAATGTTCGTGAACTATGACATGTATAGCATGTATTATCATTGTTTATGTGCGGTGATCATGATGATGATGATGATGATGATGATATTCATCTGTGAATTGAAGCAGTCTTGTTGGCACCTCACGGAGGCACCGCTGACCTTGGCAGGGCCCAGCCCTGGAGAGCCCACCAAGGAGGAATTAGGGTTGGAACATGTTGTGCCCACAGGGATTCCCAAAGGAACACGTAAACTGATTTAAACTGGTTCAAATTGATTTGAATTATATAATTTAAATGCTTTAAATTGATTTAGATATTCTAATTTGAAACAAATCGATATGAATCGAGCAAGATCTGGTAAGAATTGAACCGTGGTGGACCTAAACTTGAGCGGCCTTGCAGTAGAGGTCTTTCTTCTTCAGGCTCTTAAGGTGCTCTTAGACAGGTTGCAGGTTGGCCTTTACTCCAAGTTTGGAACCTGTGCAGGAAACCGAGACAACAGTAGCTTTGCAAGTTCGTCATGGTACACAGCATCTGATCTGAGCTAAGCCGCCATCATTGCCATTTCCTCGTAAGATTTTCGAACTGGAAATTTCTGGGACGAGCGCCTAAATCCGAAGCCGCGTCTAGCGGTCTGATATGTTTGTATTCCAATATGCATAAAGTCAGCAGACAGTAAACTGCATGGAGTCAAGCGACAAGGCAGAGTGTATATTATAAATTATTGTAACTATTATATATATATATATATTAATATATGGAATTGAGGATTTACAGACTCCCTTTGATGTTGCAATAAAGCAAATCCTTTCCAGCAGTCCCTGACCATGATTCTTCAGCTTGGCTGACCAGCTTGAATCATGCTAAGGCAAGGTGAGGTGACCCTACGTGTGCCCGCCTCAAGTACCATGCTCCAGATAAAGGCCCTTGGAACAGGGAAATTCGGAGTTTCGCAATATCTGTAGAATCTGATGATTTGTTTAAGGTGCAAAAACATGTCGGAAGGATCCACCACGTGCATCAGAAGGTATCTGATTCTCTGAAATTAATTTGCAAAAAAGTTTCTAAAAAAGGCTCCTCCATCCCTACTGTTTCCACATTGCCAATCTTTACCATTGTTTACCCATTCTTCTTACCCCATCTTGGATTCAGCTGCAGGAGGCATTGATTCGTTGTACTGGACGGCGTGCTGAAGCAATTCACCGCATGCAGCTGGTGGAAAAGACAGGAAATACCTTCAAGCAGTTCGAGGTGGGATGCTATGCACACATTGATATTTTAAGCGCTTACGCGCGACAGCCGGCCAGGGGCCCATGTTGAGGTGATAGGGGTCGAGCAGGGAGCAAGAGCTCAAGGCTATGTTGTCCCATCGGGAGGCTAAGTTGCTTCTCTCACGCGCTCCCCCGCTACAGCAGGGGTCGGCGGATCATTGATGCATTGTATGTATATATATATACATGCAGATATAGGGTGAATTCTGTGGATGCTGTTGTCAAATATATTTCAACCATGCAATCATATGCAATCCATGAACGGCTCTAGTGTTCCACTGCAGGATTCAATGATCTTGGGTGAGCGCCGAGAGATCTTGGTCCTTGGACTGGCTTTAGCTGCTCACAACAGCCCGTCCGCAATGGCCTACGCTTCAGTGGACATCTCTGTTTCAAATCCATTGTCCAGCATCTTGCCAAGAAGACGCTCAGAGCTGTCCAAATCCATCTACACAAATCTACTGACTAATTCTTACTATAGTCCTGGTTTTGCCTTTCAACATTGTGCACAAGGGTGGGTTTGGATTCGAGGGGCAAGTGCCCAATTGCGCATATCAGACATGATACCCTTGAACTGACCTGCAACTATGACCATTTGCCAGCTTTGAGATAGCCATCGTAGATAGGAAGGTGCAGATAAAGAATAAACTGGAGAGGATCACCTTTGTCACTGGCTAGCAAGCAGTAGTCACATGCAAACATTGCTCTTGGTTGGGCCGGCAATTTTCTCGGCAAGACAAACTATTTCGTATGCAATCAAAAACATCTTAGTCTTAGTAAGATAGTTCCCTTCATGTTGCTCAAGCCGTGGCAAACGAACAACAACGATCAAGTGTGTTTCGCGGGCCTGGGTGACTTGGGGCGATTCAGGGTGCGATTGAAAGAGTTGGTGTTTCACAGCTGTGCCTGAGGTGATGCCGTCACAGTGAGGCTGCCAGAAATTTCAACCATCAAAGATGTGCGAGCAGCGCTCAGACAAAGATCTGTGCCACAGGAGTTTCAATTCCTGCTCGATGCTGGCGCCCCATTGTGCCTCGTCGGAAACTCGTCCTACGGTATCAGTAATATCCGTTGGCATGCTGTCTGTGTTTGCCAAGTTGTCTGGCAAACCCCAGTCTAAAAATGCAATAAAAGAAAACACAAGAGATTCATGGCAGCAATGGTATGAAATGGCAATCTTTGCGCTAGGCATTTGTTACCAGATACCCATTGAGTGATAAGGTGCCCAAGGTTTTCCCAGTGGAATCCAGTGGAACATATTTTTTGGAACAGGACCTACTGTACAAGTTGACCAATTGGACGTGATTCCCTTTTCTAAATCGCGTCCCACATTGCGAGATGCTGAATGATGCTGAGGTATGTTTACGCTCATCCTTTGGGTGAGCCATTGAACGAGAGTGAGCCACTGAGAGGACGGTGGCAACTGATGTTAGGCTCAGACAGCACAGAGGCGAGCTATTTGAGCAAAAAGCGTCCACAGTGCCACGTTTTGATGCTTCAAATGGTTCGAACGAATTGAAGACATTCAGCCATTCTTGTTTGGCCTGCGTAGTCTGGGAACTGCAAAGCATGCATGATTGCATGATTGCTATTTTAATCTATTTTACGCATTCGAGACATCAAGAGGCACCTATACTGTAGACTTCAGCGCAAATGCGCTTGCAAGAGGAAGCTTCATGAGTTTTTTGTCTTCGCAAAAAAGCCTGAAAGGAAGCCGTGTGTGGGAAAGAGACTTCCACTAGATAATGAATGATAATGATAGATACAAAAACCATCAAACGTCCTAGGTACCACTTCGCAGCGATTTAGGCCCGAGGTTATGGCTGGTATCCTGTACCCAGTGTTGGTCTTGGGCGGCCTCTATGCCAATTATTTCTCCACCAAGGCCCACTGCGCTGGGATCTGAGGTGGCTTAGAGGGTGCTGGATGTCTTGTCAGATCCCAATTTTGTTTAGTGGAAATACGTTGAAATCCGGTTGTGATGGTCTTTCAAGTCCCCATTGTTTGCATTTGAGGTATCTTCAATATATTGGACCTGCTGGGTATTCTGTGATTCTTAAATGTTCTTAACAGCTGTTGAACGACAACGACGTCCCAGACAGGACCAGCTTACTAAACCCCTGTCTTCATGACAGGAACTGGATGACATCTCGACCTTGGAGAAAACGAGGTCTGACGGACCTGTGGGTTCGACGTGCGATTCATCTGCGTCCAGGATGAATCGTAGTGCTTTTGAGGTCGCCTGTGTTACCGCCAGAAAATCCGTTCACCTTGTTGCTCTGATCAGAAATTTGTAGAATACGACCAACAAAACAGCGGACTATGTAAGTGGCCAAATCCAAGGGAATTCAGATATTTGCGGTTGACTTGGCATGAGCCTCTTCATGTGTTCTTTCGTAGCGTTCTTGAAAGAAAGTCGCCAAGCTTTGTCTAGTTCCACATGTTTCAGCCAGTACTCCGCACAAGGATATGGTTTGTTTTTTTTTCCCGTTTGCAGCAGCATATGACTTTGCTTGAGGGCATTAACCATGCACGCACACTCTTTTTGGGGTATCTCCTGTCACTTTGTTATTCAAGGCAAGATGTACCCAGACTACCACTTTCCAATTTCCTGCAAAGATGCCATTCTTTTCAAGTTTCGAAGTGGGCGTCAGCGGATATCACGCGCTTCACCCCCTCAGAGCCAGGCGGCCCTTGAGCGACTTTTGGAGCGGCATTTGTGTGGGTGTCATCATAGGCGAGCCCCAAATGCTGCAAGCAACGCTGTCGGATTGTTGCATTGCGTAAACATGCGCCAGGGCCAGTTGAAGCAATAGGGAGCTGTCGTCGTTCTCACTCTTGGCTCCATAGAGGGTGCTTGAACGTTTGTAACACATAAGATCAGCAATCGCTGATTGTTGAGAGAAGTCCAGATTTGTTCAGGGGTGGGTGCTATTTGGATATGAAGTGCAGCGCCCCATGCTGAAAATGATGACTGTTGACAGACGTCACTCTTGAGCATGCACAGGAGTGTGGGCTGGCATCAACTACGGCCCATCTTTGAAGTATGCCTGGGAAACGCTCGACTGGGTGCCTCCCCTTGCTGCAGTTTCCTGTTTCTGTCACTATCTGTCACTGCTTCATTTGCTCTTCTTGGGGAGGCGTGGTTGGATAGGATATCCTGGAGGTTTGTCCTCGACATTGTACTGATTGGCAACTGCATAGGCTTTCGCATGGTGTTCATTCAAAAGGTTTCAGGCTTCGCCTTTGCTTTGGTTGTCAATGAGATGTTCTTTTCATCTTTTTCAACAAGCAGGAAGCAGTAAAGGGCAAGGACTGGCATGGGGCCATAGTGCACAAATCCAACTTGTCCGCTCGATAAAGTGGCCCCTTTCTTATCGCACATGAACGGACCTTTCTACCAAGAAGGAAGAAATGATATTAGGGGAAACAACAAGTCACAGCATGATTATGACAAGAAAGGCACGCACTGCAAATCTGCACACGTAACCAACTATGGTGTTTGTGGCTTGTCACCGTTCACTCTCCTTCTTGGCCCAAGATTTTGTGATTGGCGCTAAGACATGAAGAAATGAAGCGCTTTTGCTATCGTTGCGCTGCTGCATTTGGGACTCCCAAGCGAATATCGAGACAGCTTGCCACTGAGCTAGAATAGAGATTGCCACAAATAGTGGACCATGCGTTGAGTGCATTCATTTTGCTGGAAAAAATGCGGTTAAACTGTACTGTTTATATATCATATCCAATTTTACAACAAGCCAAAAGTTAGTGCGGAATCGCTGAAGAAGCTGGGCCGCCGCAGAACTGTCTCAGAGAGCATGCAGCTGTCAAGGATGGACCTTAGTCGACGGCAGCCATCCTTAACAATCCTTAACATGGACACCAAGTTTCCCTGCTAAAATACGGCGGTCTCGAACGGACCCCTGTGGTGCTTTCGTCTTTTAAAGAGATAACAATATGACATTGGGTGAAGCCGTTGCTAGGAATGATAGGCATGTGAACTTTGTTAAAGGAGCCACTTGGGGGATCTCTGAGAGTTTGTATCCGTAAGATTCCGTAAGTACCCGTTAGATCCCGCCTGACATATGGAGGAACTCAGGGCTGTTAGTGACTTAGTCGGCCAAGTTAGGGCGGAGGGATGACTTGGCCTCAGGAGGCCGTGGAAGCCGCTTCGGTGAGGATCTCAGGTGTCGGTTGGAGTAGGAGCTACCTGTACTATATAGCAATCAGTTGGATATTTTTGCCTTGCAACAGATTTCAGATACTTACAGAAATATACTTACAAATATATAATATACATAATAATAATTATAATTAAGTATATATATACACAATATTATACAATTATGATATGTGTTTGAAATCTTGACCAGTCCTTGAGGTAGGGGAAGATGTGTGAAGGTTGCGTTCAATCAGACACCGAGAGGCGAAAAGTGATCATTGTTGGAATGCTACTGATGTGTGAAACATGTGAAAGTCCAGGAGCTTGTCATCGCAGTTCAAAGGCTTCAGGTAGGTGAAGGGGTGTGCATCAGATGTTGCCTTATCTGAGGTTGCAGTTGCCCAATATACTTGTAAAATCTTGTAAATATTTGTTTGTACAATAAGCTGCAACATCTTAGAATACTGTATATGTGTGTCTGTATACATATGAATTTATGGTGTATCCGCATACTTCCGTATATATAATTCCTGTCCGTATATATATATACATATATATATACATATTATATATATATTATATATATATATGCATTTATGCATGTCATTCATATGTGTCCCGTTCCTCCTGGCTGGGCTGGATATTGAAGCCCCTTCGCAGCCATTAGACTTTTGGAGCAACTACCCGCGGCTTGCCGCCCTGCCCCCCCTGCCCGATGCCGGCCAATTCTGCAGTGGTTGTGTGTGCCTTTGTCATGAAGTTTTTGGGATGGTGGGCTGATTGAGATTGACCCCCATGATTCCATGCCGCGTTTTGCATTTGGAATATTGGAGCTATGTCCACGCAGAAAATAACATACCAACTAAAGAAGTACACAGAAAAGCTCTGCAGCGACTCTATGGGTGACTGATAGAACTGATCTTGCTTGGGCATTTCAAAATACGTTTCAGCAAGCACCTTATTGGCTGGAAAGGTTTGCGATCAGATTTTGAACTATACTGCTTTTGTTCAAACTCCCAGCTGGCTGTTCTATAAAAATGATCATTTGTTGATGCGGAAATCAACTTTGCAACCAACAAAAGTATTTTGCACGGATACATATGCATACACCATGCACCGGTAAAGTGAAGGTGACTAATCATAAACCCATCAATCTGTATAAGCAGACTTGCTAAAGTCCAATGCATGGCATGTGCCGCATCCCGCCGTTACAGGTGAGGATGCAGATGCCCATCCCTTCGCACAGATGCCCCCAGAGACTTGCTTCTATGGGGGCCGTTGGACAATGGTTTGCAGCAGATGCTGCAGATGCTTCATGCGCGCAGGAATGCCAAAACAACAAGCCGTTTTATTTCTCAAGGGTGCACTAATATTATAATCTATAAATAATATACATAAATAGGTACCAGTATACAGAGATAGATGGATTGGATTGGATTGGATAAGACAAGATAAGATAAGTATATATATAATTAGAGGTAGATAGATTAGATAGATAGATAGATAGATAGATAGATAGATACTGTAGATAGATAGATACTGTAGATAGATAGATACTGTAGATAGATAGATACTGTAGATAGATAGATACTGTAGATAGATAGATACTGTAGATAGATAGATACTGTAGATAGATAGATACTGTAGATAGATAGATACTGTAGATAGATAGATACTGTAGATAGATAGATACTGTAGATACTGTAGATAGATAGATAGATACTGTAGATAGATAGATAGATACTGTAGATAGATAGATAGATAGATAGATACTGTAGATAGATAGATAGATAGATACTGAGATAGATAGATAGATAGATAGATAGATAGGTACTGTAGATAGATAGATACTGTAGATAGATAGATACTGTAGATAGATAGATACTGTAGATAGATAGATAGATAGATAGATAGACAGATAGATGGATAGATAGATAGCTAGGTAGGTAGGTAGATAGATAGATAGATTAGATAGGATAGATACTGTAGTTAGATAGTGATAGTGATACTGTGAACGTGATAGTAGATAGAAGATTACTGTAGATAGATAGATACTGTAGAATAGATAGATAGATGGATGGATAGATAGATACTGTAGATAGATAGATACTGTAGATAGATAGATAGATAGATAGATAGGTACTGTAGATAGATAGGTACTGTAGATAGATAGATACTGTAGATAGATAGATACTGTAGATAGATAGATACTGTAGATAGATAGATACTGTAGATAGATAGATACTGTAGATAGATAGATACTGTAGATAGATAGATACTGTAGATAGATAGATACTGTAGATAGATAGATAGTAGATAGATAGGTAGATAGATAGTAGGTAGATAGATAGATAGATAGACAGATAGACAGATAGATAGATAGATACATAGATACATAGATAGATAGATAGATAGGTAGATAGGTAGATAGGTAGATAGGTAGATAGATAGATAGACAGATAGATAGAAGGACGAATCGATGGACTGATGGATGAATGGATGGATAGATAGGCAGATAGAATCATATGTATATCCGTCTGCACATGCTAGACCTAACATATCTACATGTTGCCAGCTTCTGACAGAACGACCTGCCTAAAATGTCCATGTTCATTGTATGTTTTGGCTTTAAGACGAAGGATACAAAGGACATGGTCTAGTCTCGAGGTACAGCATGTTTGTAGATCATCAACTGCCAAGGCGACCACTTTGAAGAATCTACCGACAGCGGCGCTGACCGGTTGACTTGACTGCAGATATTGGTTTCTCCCATTAAATACGTATCTAGGCCTATAGGTAACCTTCCGCTTGTGACTGCAGCGTCACGCCTTTTTTTGAGATATTTCCTTGAGCTGAGAGAACCTCCATTGATTTGGTTTCTTTACACCAAGCCCCCCGCAGGGTCTTCCCAGTCCAAGGTTTAGTATGCGATTGCGCAGCGCGCGGTGACATCGAGGGTCCCAAGCTCAGTAGAGAGACAGCACATCTGCAGGACAACGGCAGCCATTGGATCCTACGCATGAAGAGTGAAATGATCACGGCGAAGTAGTGGCATGTTGTTCCGTTTCTGTCACTGTGTTCTTAAGTAAATGATAGTAAATGTATGTAAATGTTGATTTTGTCTATCTGAACCTTGACCTGTCAATCCAAACCTCAATATTAACCTATCATAATGATTGACCATGAGTGCTTCTTTCAGCTTAGCGATCTCTTTCCGCGCTGTCGCACAAGACATGCGTCACCCACCCAAGCACACACTGACATCGCATTGAGGTATTCGCAGTTTGATCGAAGCGCGGGCAGATCCAAATATGGGCACTGCCTACGACATGCGAACCCCCTTGCATCTGGCGGCTGCAGCAGGTTGCCTGGCTACATTGGGTGTTATCTTACACATCCGATAATCTAGTGATTTGATGTGATTTGAAAGTCAGTAAATCCGTAAAGATTATTATGAAGCAGCACTCAGTCTCATCGAATCAAGCTTTCGTGTAGACAGCCTGTGATACTGGATGAACACTGATTTCTGCATACAGGCACTGCCGCATCCCTATCTTGCGAGTATACGTGTACCATCTTGTACCGTTGTCGTGCTGCAAGATTTTGAAGGATGGTTAAGATTGGATTGTATTGGATTCTTGACCTGCAGCTTTGCTTCAGGTAATTTGAAACTAGCGCGATTCTTGATTGAAGACTGCGGTGCGACCTTGCGAAGAGATCGCTTTGGGCTACTCCCAATCCACGATGCGGTGCCTGGGTAGACCATGGTAGACCCGATTTGTCACCGCAATATGCCATAGTTATGCAGGACGAATATGTGGATAAAT